GATTTTTAAAAAATATCAGTTTTGTCACTTTTTAGAAAGCAAGATTTTAGGATACCTAGATTTCAAATTTATTTGTGCATAATTATATGTGCTTGTGTAACTTCTTTTTTGTTTAAAATGGATTTGTAACATTCCAAAATTTAACACCAAAAATTTCGTTTTTATAATAATAAAATCACCAATAAAACATGTTTATAAAACCATACAGGAAAAAACAGAGTATGTCAATCAAACATCCCAAATACATCAGAGTCAAGTAAGGCGGAAATTATGGTGTGTATGTGTGATGCAATCATCTCGAGCTCTTCCCCTTCGATCTGGAAGTACCTGAAACATAGATTGAAAACCATAAGCACGAAGCTTAGTGAGTACTTTTAAATACAACATATCATACATATCTGTCAGCTCAAGGCTGTGTCGGGTCTATTTCACCCCCGAGTCTATTTCAACTCATGTGTCATCACAAGGTTGTACCAAGTCTATTTCACCCCATATAGACATATAACACATACAATAGGAGTCACAAAGACTAAAAACACATAATATATCCTAGTGTCCTACAGTATAGTGAGCAAACTCACCTCAGTCTGTTGTCAGTCAAACAAATGATCGGGTTGTTGAACCGGAAAATCCCCGTGCTATTCAATAAAATAAAACCCCAATTAATAATTGGCTCATAAACCATAACTGGGAATCTAGTTCATTTGTCCAACACCCAGGGTTGCGAGTCGGAGGTTGGACTCGGCGAGTTGGTGCTGAAGAGAGAAAAACCCTAATCTTCGGGGTTGCACCTTATTTAAAGGACTTAATGTCCTCCCCTCAGTCCCCTTAGCCCCTTTTGAAGTCCAGAAACCCTAAATCCGTTTGTGAGTGCATTGGAGAGCATTTGGAACCTTGATAAGTGCTTGGTGAATAGATCTTTGAAGATTAAGAAGGTTGGAGCAAGGGGCTTTGCAGAGATTTGGTTCATTCTTCAGTTAGAGCTTTCATTTGAGGTAATAATCTGTTGATTAAGGTCCTTTGCATCTAGATCCTTTATTGCTTGAGTTTTGTGGCATTTCTAGAGTTATTTCGGATTTGGAGGTTAGATCTAAGGTTACTACCTTAGATCTGGACTTGAGATGGTCCAGAAGATCATAAAGTTCCTGTTTTTGAATCGTTGGTGAAGCCTTCTTGTCCCAAGCCCTAGCTCAAGAGTCTTTTATGCTTAGATCTCTTTGGATTCACGTAAAGTTTGCAACTTTACGTGAGGAATAGCTTATAGAATGGTAGATCTATGGATTGGAGCCCCTGCATGGCTTGGAAAGCCACTGTATGGATTAAGAACTACATGTACTCAGCGAGTCACATGGGTGTACTCGCGAGTTGGATGAAGATAGGCAAGGACTCGACAAGTTGGAAGAACAACTTAGCGAATCTGTTGAAGATTGCCTTGGACTCGGCGAGTCTGTTCTTGGACTCAACGAGTCTGGTCGCGAAGTCCTAATCGTTTTGGTTGAGTTGTGAATCGGTGAGTCGAGGGACGACTCAGTGAGTTGAGCAGGAGGTGACTCGGAGTTCGTGGGACTTGGCGTGACTCGGCAAGTTGGGTTGCGATATGGGAGTTTTCAGAGCATAGGTACTCGACGACTCAGCGGGCTGACTCGGCGAGTAAAGTCAGTCAGGAAGTTTGACTTTGACTGAGGACTTTAACTTTGACCAAGAGTTGACCAGTTGACTTCCAAGGGTATTTTGGTAATTATTGGTATTTATTGAGTTCAGTCTTTTGGTATTATCAGTGGTGGAGTTTGTGTCGGAGGTTGGAGCAGCGTGATCTTATCTTTTCAGTCAGCAGTTGCGAGGTGAGTTATCCTCACTATATCGATAGGGTCTAAGGCACCAAGGCCGGCCCTTTATCGGATTGTAATCAGGGTATTGTTGTTATGTTAGTGCTTTGCTATGTTTGCATCCTGGTAGTTAGGATAGTATATGTTAGTGACTGTTTAGGTCGGTATCCTGTTAAGAGTATGCTATGTACGTGATCTGCTAGATCGGTTGTCTGATGATTAATTGTTATGTGGTTATATGTTTATGTGCACATGGTTGGTTGATTAGGGTTGGGTTGAGGCGGGTCCTACTTTGTGCTGTAGGCCAACATACCCAGGGCGGACCGGATATTCCGAAGGCTCAGCGAGCGGTCCGGATAGACTATAGGCCCCATGAGGGCGGACCAGACGTGCCGAGGCTCAGAGAGTGGACCAGGTCGACTGAAGGCCCGGTGCGCGCGGACCAGTCATACTGTAGACTCAAAGAGTGGACCAGGTAGGTTGAAGGCCCGGTGCGGGCGAACCAACCACACTGCAGACTCGATGGATATGGCTAGACTCGGAGGGTGGAGTAGGTGGACTGAAGGCCCGGTGCAGCGGACCAGTCACACAGTAGACCCGAAGTGCATGGTTGTTCTGTTCTGTTATGATATGTTATGCGTATGGTATATGTGGTTGGTATTTTGGGGGTATCTCACTAAGCTTTCGGGATTACAGTTGTGGTTTAATGTTTTTTAGGTACTTCAGGAGACCGTGGTAAGGCGAAGGCGTGATCATACCGCTCCTTATGTTCTTGTTTTATGATATGGTTCTGGGAATACTCTGATAATAAATGTATTAAAAACCTTTTTGTAATAACTTAATGAAATTGGGTTGTTTTTGAAAAGTTTAAATTGGCTTGAATTTTTAGAGTGTTACAGGGCAAGGCCCAATATGTGTTTATATGTTATTGTATGGTGTGTGGTAGTTTGGGGGAGCTCACTAAGCTTCGTGTTTACAGTTTCAGGTACTCAGTTTCAAAAGAGGAGCTCGGGAAGATTGCAGTGCACACACCATTTGTCCAGCCTGGGATGTTTATACTCTGATATTTTGACAATTGTTATGATATTTTGAGATACATTGTATATGATTTTTATACGATGTTCGATGACAAAGGTTTTATTATTAAATTAAAACGAAATTTTTAGACTGTATTTTTGGGATGTTACATCATCAATTTATGAAGATGTAGCTTCATGACTTAATGGAGCCATAGAACTCATCACCACCTTCGTGACTTTAAGGATTAAGACTCGTAGGCACTCAGTCTAAAATGACTTAATGGAGTCGTAGAACTCATCACCACCTTCGTATGAATATAAGATTTTTGGAAAACGAAAATAAGATAAAGAATATACACATCTTTGAAGATACATTAGAAAATGGGAAAATTTTGTATTATGAGATTTTTACATGGCTTAATGGATTAAGTTCCGTATGATTTAAGCCAAAAGTAATTAGATAGAATTGTATGGTCTTTTAATACCTTCGTGTGGATATAAATATCACTTAAAACGAGTTTGAAACGAAAAAGTTATGACTGTTTAAAGTTGGAATGGAAAATGGCCAAAACTAGAATCTATGAAGTGCACTCACCACGACGTGGTAAGAAGGTTGCAACGGCGTAGTGATACTGCTATAACATATATTTAATCTGTTAAACTCCTTTTCCCCTAACACATTTCACAAGGTATGAGGTTGTTTGGAGATGTCTAGAATCAAGGGAAACAAATGCATCAATTGGAGATTTGGATCCGATGGTAGTTAGTTTTCACTAACTAACAAGGTGAGTTATAACTTTCAATAGAGTATTATTATATGATTTATATGATTATTTGATTTATAATATTATAAATGAGTATGAATGCATGATGATATGTTAGTGTTATTAGTATATGAATGCTTATTTTTAGTACTTAATGAATTGAGTATTAAATCAATAGTAAAAGATTTCTTAATGAAATGAGACGATAGATTGTTTATGTGCCAAGTAGCACGAAAGACTATAGGACGACTATAACATTCACATGAAAGAATATGAGATTGTAGAAATGCAATTCCTTTGAGAATAGAGATATATAATTCCTAAATTCAGTTTTCTCAATTTTTTACATTTTATAAAACCGAAACCGACCCAATATTTCGGTTTTTAAAAAAATCAAACCCAAACCATTGGTTTCTATTATGGTTTTGGTTTTATCGGTTTTTCGTTTTTTGGGTTTGGTTTTTCTCAACCCTGGTTATGTTTGACTAAATATAAAAAAGAAAAAAAAAAGTTAAAAAGTAACATACGTAGAAAAAAAAATTCAATAACAATATATATATATATATATATATATATATATATATATATATATATATATATATATATATATATATATATATATATATATATATATATATATATGGGAAGGGAAAAGTGAATATACCCTTAAGGGTATATAAACTTAGGTACCCAAACACACCATAATACATCGTTTTGTTTGATATATTCATTATAGTGTTCTTAAACTTCAACCCCTAACTTGATTTAATTTCAAAATTTCACTATTATCTTTCTCTTATGTCACTCTTTTTGTCGAACACTTATTAAGTTATATTTATTGTAGTTGAAAATGAAAATTAAGTAAGAGGAAGATAAATGTGTAATTTATAAAAATCATGGAAGTAAATCAACTTACAAGTTAAATTATAATAACATTGGACAATTATAATGTATTATATGATACAAAACGACGTAGTATGGTGAGTTTGAGTACCTAAGCTTATATACACTTAGGAATATATTCATTTTTCCATATATATATATATATATATATATATATATATATATATATATATATATATATATATATATATATATATAATTACCCTGTTTATCCATTTTTCCAACTAGATAAGAAATATTTCGGGTCAATCAAATCTGACGGCAACTTTTTCGATCCATTTTCCAACCCGTCGACCTCTTCATTTTGCAACGGTTGAGCTTTAGTAGTTAAAAGAAATTGATTAAAAGATAAAATGGAGGAACATTTTTGTTAAAACATCCAAAAGCGAAGTAGTTTCACTGAATTCGATTCTCCATCGCTTTCCTCAACACGCCATCATTCTCTCTCTGTTTTATGTCTCATCACAATTCGGTGGTTTAAGAACCATCACGATGATATCTGGATACTAATTTTCCCTTTGCAAGAAGGGAAAATCCTACGAATTTGATCTCCAATTTTCATGAGAGGTTCTTAAAGTTCTTGATCCCTTTTTTTCGAACATCACGTCTATTCCCATGGAGGTAAATCGATTCCTCTATCACAATAAGCTGATCTATGTGCTAAGCGATAGGAATTTGATTAGGGTTTTTGATATTTAACCTTTGTTTTTACACCTTATGGGTTGAGCTGTTTATCTTCTAGGGTTCTCATATTTGATTACTTATCTGATACATCTGTTATTACGAGTTTGAGGTGATCGGTACTAGAAATTGAAGTCTTTGAGTTATACGGAAAGAAATTTGCGGGCAATTTCAGGGAATCACCTTAGTATGCAGTCTTGATGGTGGTTTTAGGGAAGAAAAGTCTAGGGTTTTGATATTTAGTTTTGTGAAATTGAATTCAGGGTTTTAACGACGAGTTAAACAAATTCAATCATACTTTGTAAACTTCGTTTCGGTGTCTTTTCTTCTTGATGTTATATCTAGGGTTTTATAATGTCTAAGGTTTTGGAGAAGGAAGAGAGCAAGAACGATAGTCATCTGACTTCAGCTGCAGCTTTTGTGGAAGGAGGAATTCAAGAAGCTTGTGATGATTCTTGTAGCATTTGCCTTGAGGCTTTCTGTGATAGTGATCCTGGCACGGTACTTAATTTTATACTTATTACATTTATGCCATTGCATTATTTTCCACTTTAGAAGCTCTTAAACTACACCATTTTTGGCAAAATTAAACTTTCCATTTGTTGCAGGTGACTGGATGCAAGCATGAGTTCCATCTTCAGTGCATTCTTGAATGGTAATACCTGAAATATATCCATATTTTGCTTACCCTATAAGCTTTCCTTTTTTTTTTTTTTTTTTTTTTAAGAAAAAAAACTGATTCAATATCTTTCTTATAGGTGCCAAAGAAGCTCAAACTGTCCAATGTGTTGGCAAGCCATCACCCTCAAGGATCCTACCAGGTGATTGTCCAATTCTTGTAATATACATTTGATTACTATCTGTTTACTCTGTTTTGTGGGTCCCATCTTGATTGTGAAAATGCTGACATGTCACTGGTCAACATGAATGTGCAGTCAAGAGTTATTAGAGGCAGTAGAACAGGAAAGACGCATCAGGTTCAAGCCTGCAAGAACTTCAACAATATTTCATCATCCCACTCTCGGGGATTTTGAACTACAACATGTTTGTCATCTATCATTTCTAAAATAATTTATAAAAAGACGTTTTTTTTTGTTAAAATGGATCTTTTAACATTTGTGTTTCTATTTCAGTTACCGGTTGGTGTTAATGAGGGTGAACTTGAGGATCGAATTATCCGGCATCTAGCGGCTGCTGCCGCCATGGGTAGGACTCACCATGTGAGTAGAAGGGAGGGGTCAAGAAACCGGTCAACGGGTCATGGTCAACCACAGTTCTTGGTTTTCTCTGCTAACCCTAATGCACCTTCATCTGCCACTGATCCAGGTGGAGTGGAAGGTGAACCCGTTGGTGTCACTTCAGCTAGCCCATCTGTTCCACTTAGGTCAACTTCAGAAACAGCTAACATATCCAATAGTCAACAAGGGACCTCAGTTATACATAGGTATTTACAAAAAAGATTTAATCTTTCTTTGTTGGGTGTGTACGTGTATGAAGTGGCATGAATATTTGTTAACTTTTTCTGAATTTGTGTTTAGAAAGTGTTAACTTTTTTAATCGGGTATTTAGAAAATTTTGATCTTTCTTCATTGGGTATTTGCATCGATACATGTATGAAGTGGCATAAATGTTTCTTGTTCTTGACCTTTCTAATTGGGTATTAAGATTTTAGAATGTTTTGATTTTCTTTCATCGGTTATTCACTAAGTTCTGATCTTTCTTCATTGGGTATTTACAAAGTTTTGATCTTTCTTCATTGGGTATTTTCAAAGTTGATTTTTCTTCATTGGGTATTTACAAAGTTGATCTTTTTTTTTTCTTGACTATTTACAAAGTTTTGATCTTTCTTAATTGGGTATTTACAAAGTTTTGATCTTTCTTAATTGGGTATTTACAAAGTTTTGATTTTTCTTCATTGGGTATTTACAAAGTTTTGAGCTTTCTTCATTGGATATTTACAAAGTTTTAATCTTTCTTCATTGGGAACCTACATGTATGAAGTGGGATGAGTATTTCTCGACTTTTCTTATGGGTTTATTGGAAAGTGTACACTTTTGACTTTTGAGGTCAAACCTGATATGTTTTTTTTATTATATAGTTGGTACCTAAATGGCCGTTACTATTTGTTGTAGGATTTATCATCAGATTTTTCCATAAATTAAAAAAAATCATACCAATGTTGCAATCTTTTTTATATTCTTGGAAATCAAATTGTATTTCTTGATTGAATCATTTGGTCTTCCTACAGAAGCTCAAGTAGTCAATCCTCTCTTCCTGATCAAGATCAAGCTGGTCCTTCAGAGTTCCAAACAGTTACAAATTCATGGAAATCAAGATTTAATGCTATTTCAATGAGGTTAGGATTTGCTAAAAATGGCATCATAAATTCTGGACAAACTCACTAGTTCATGCAAAGCTTATTTTTTAATTGTTAATTTGAAAAAAGAAGATTATTTTATTTTGTTTTTTCTGAAGATATAAGGAATCACTATCGAAGAGTACACGAGAGTTGAAGGATAGGCTTTTCAACAAGAGTCCATCCATGTCAAACATTGGTTCAGAAGACAGGAGAGAAGTGAACGCTGAAATTGAAAATGTGTCTCAAAGGATGGAGTTCCTGGAAACCCATGAAGATAATAGACAAGATCATGATCATGATCCAGCATCAAATGACAATAATACCCCTGCTACCGGTCCAAATGCTGCTTCAAACTAATATGTTCAACTCATTTGACCAATCAAAGATTTCATTAGTTATCTGCAAAAGCGAGTAGTTACATTTTCATTTATTCATGTTGTAATATTTGCTTTTGTTCTCACTATTCTAATGTTTTTTTTTTTTTTGAAGGTTGTCATGTATCCATATCCAGATATGTCCTGTAGAGGGGAACAGAGAATAAACAGTGGGGGTGGGGAGGGGGATGGGTTAAACACATGGTTTAATATTTCACAACTTTCTTCTTCTATCTGCTTGTGAAAAAAAAAAAAAACCTTCATATAGAAACATAGATTTGGTATGGACAGCATACGTTAATTACATGATTGTTTTGTTTGGAGGGTTTGTGTTGAATTATTTGCTATACCATTAATTACTATGGAGAGATCATGATATTGGGTCAATCACAAGAATGAACATACTGCTCAATCTCATTCTTGATTCAAGAATACTTGAGGATTGTGATTGTTACAACAAATCTCATTCTAAATTGAATGAATTTTATTTAATGGATTATTACAAATATAATATTTATAAAAAGATCGAGGGCCCATTTGAATATACCTAAAGATAAAAGTTTCTATACAACTAGTAAATGACATTCGACGCATTTATAACGTTGTGTGTCGTAATCCCTTCTTGATCGTATGCCCCTTCCTTCAACATCGACTACATGTTTTTTGAATCATGACATTCTCGTTGAGATGGAATACAATCATTCTTATATGCCGACCAGATTGACAGTTGTCCGTCACTGGTGGTTTAATAACCATCAGGTTAATAGAATTTCACATTCATAGGGGGGTGGAACGTGATTCACACCTTCCTCATATACAACTCAATTAACTTGCAAAATAAAGTAAGGCATGTCCCATGATCCCATCCATAGGATTCTAGAAACTTATTTCAAGATCATTGTTGAGTGACCAAGGTAACCATAGCGTTTCAATTTTCATTAGGCTAATGACTCGTCAATGGCATTATTGATATAATATTCGTCTACTTAAAATGTGTAGTCCGTGACAAAGTATACTGTTAATTTTATATTTTATCCAATTCTTTTATGTACTTTCCCCTCCGCCCAAGGGGTGAGTCATGTAGAAATTCTACTACAAAATTGAAAAACATTTATTATCATATAGTTCTGCTAATATATATATATATATATATATATATATATATATATATATATATATATATATATATATATATATATATATATATATTCAATAGAAAACCATTATTAATTAAGGAACCAATCAAAAGCGTCAAAATTTAAAATGATCAACGGCAAAAGGAATGGTTGTAAACATTTACAATAAACGCACATGCACCAAAATATAACAAAACCCACTTCTTTTTTTTTCATTTAAAAATTTTTTTAGGCCATATTTTTTATCGAAAAAAAACCGAGTATACCGTTGTTCACGATTTTTCGTCCTCTTTCCAAACAGATCAATGATGATATATAAAAAACGAATTTTTTTTTTCGAAAAAAACTCACTTCATTTTCTTTGTTGAAAAGTTACGGTCTAATTTTTTATAGAAAAAAAATAATAAATATCTTTCAAAATTCATGCTTTTTTGCAATTTTTAAAAATAGATTCATATTCATGTAAAAAAAGATATTTCAGTTCAGATTCATATTGTGAATCTTCTCAGATTCACAATGTGCATAATAATAAGTCGGATACACAGTGTGAATCTGAACTGATCGGAGTTTTTTCACATTGTAAATGTTAAAAATTAAAATATTTACAGTTTAGATTCACAGTGTGAATCTACAGTGTTCGAGGTTTTTTTTTTTTTTTTTATAATCGGTGTTAGTGTTTATTAATAGAGTACAAAAAATTAATATTTTTGGAATAATTATTTTTTTTGATAAAAATAAACCTAAATATTTAAAAAAACTAACAAAATGAAGTGGGTTTTTTTTTGTAAAAAATCATTTTTTATATATTAACATGGATCTCTATAAAAAGATGACGAAAAATCGAGAACAACGGTATATTCGGTTTTTTTTTTTATAAAAAATATGGCCTAAAAAAGTTTTAAACGCAAAAAAGAGGTGAGCTTTTTGGTAAGAATGTGAATTTTTTGGTATAATCCGGTATGTGTGCATCCAATATAAAAGTGTATATCTATTTCCTTGGTCATTGTTCATTATGATTTCCGACGCTCACGATTGGTCATTGGTTCCTTGTTAATTATGGTTCTCTATTGAACCTCACACACACACACACACGCATATATATATATATATATATATATATATATATATATATATATATATATATATATATATATATATATATATATATATATAAAAGGTGGAGTGCCAAATGGACTGTTCGGCTGAGGTGGGGCTAATTTTTGGCACACCATTTCTTTATTATTTAAAAAATCTAATTTTTGAGAAAAAGGGGGAGAGGACTCAAACCCGTGACCTCCCACTCCCAATCCATACACCTTACCATGTGAGCTAGAAAGTTTTATTGTTATTATTTCATTAATTGTATTTATAAAGTTGTATAACCTCCATCTTCATCCCAACAGGACCCATCGATATACCTTTAGTCTTATCGAAACTTGGATTCTTTCTCCCAATTTGTTGGTACGTCCGTTAAAACCTATTTGAAACTGACATCGATGAGTCTGATTTTGCATCATTACTCTTTTGTAACAACTGTCGTGGAGTCATCATCATCGCCGACCCGTACACATACTGTAACTATGATACACTCCCGATGCTTTTAGCGTCATATCCTTTATCTATCAAAAAAATAGAAATCGATCAATAGCAATTTCATAGAATTTTATCCATGTTTCATTCAATTAAAACAAAGGGAGGACCTACAACGACATGCATTTCCAATGGTAACTCAGGGAAGATATGTCAATACGGTCCACCAATGTTGATTTACTAACCAGAATGGAGGTGGGGTGCCCGCCCTTTGAACCAAAACAAATTTTTCGATGATGAAGATGTAGTGGTGGTTGTCGGAGTTGGTGGCGAAGTTGAGATAAGACAATTAAAGTTGGAAGAAATATTTAGGGAAGAAGAAGGATTAGTGGGAGAAAAATGTGAATTTTCTGATGGTAGTTAATGGTAAAGTATTAAGATTTTATAAACACATTTGAAGAAAACATAACAATAAATTATTCTAACTCATGTTGTAAGGTGTATGGTTTGAGAGTGGGATGTCATGGGTTTGATTCCCCTCTCTATTTTTTCTTCTAAAAACTAGATTTTTTTTTTAATAATAATGAAAAGGCATGTCATATCAGCTGCCACCCAACCAAACAATCAATTTGATACACCAGTTCAGCAAGTAACCTGTTGCAAAAGGTAAAAATGTTTAAAATGATAATAGTAATGAGTTTCTTATTATTTTTCGTTAATAAAATTTAATTTAGGACTACATATTAATTGATCCAAAATTTTGGATTTTTTTGAAGAATTTCCATTAATACCACTTGAATAAGGTGGAAAACAAATATTGTTAGTTGGATTAATGAGAATATATGGTCCGTTCAGAATATACAACTTATTATTATTAATGTTAGATTCCAAACCTCTCAGTCAAGATAACAACTAATAGTTTGAAATGGGATGTTTCGGACCAAATGATCCAAATTTATAAATAGTGGGTGTTTCATATACTCGTTTCATTTATCATAGTTATTTTTGTCAATATCCATAATAAAAATCGTGTAAAAATATAATGCTGATTATATTTGATTTGCAAACACCAAATGTATATAAAGAAAAAGAATGTGTCGGTGGCTGGTACAGGGAATGAGTGCCTATTGATTTTCCGGTCATAACATGACTCTAAATAAAATTATTTTTTAAACAATATAAAAATAATTGCAAAATAATTCATGAGATTTGGAAACACCAACAAGATATTCTTATTAGTTATGATTATTTATATTCAAGCCTATATTTATTTATTAAAATATTCAAAGTAAATCAGTTTTTAATAGAATGTGTCAAAACTATTTTATATCAATATTCAAATATGTACAATATAATAATATATTTCAAACTTCAAATATATTATTATATATGTTCTTATACCGTAAGACATGTGGGTTGGAACTCTGGATGCTTGTTTGGAAAAATGTTCCCATCCCCTTTTTTCATCATTGGGAAGCTTATAACAACAATGAAAATATCTAATTTTATAACAATGAATATATATATATATATATATATATATATATATATATATATATATATATATATATATATATATATATATATATATATATATATAAAAGCTGATTGTCTCAATTCATGGGTTTTAAAATTTAAATACAATTTTTATTTTGGTAAAGTAATTAACTGTTTACAAGTTAAGTCAACTGCATATGGTCCATTTTTATTAATACAAATATCACATGTTAATCGTTAACCGAATTATTTTGTTATCCTTTATCAGGAATGTTGTTTAAGTTTGGTTGATATTATATGATAATGAAATTTTTGCAAATGGTTAATATTTTTTTATACGATTTATTATTAAGCTAATTTGAACGGCTTAAAATGTATTATTTTAAATGGATATTATAGGTTATAATGTTTTTTGTATATGATTTATCATTAAATTATAAGATATATATGGAACCAAAATTATCTCACTAAAGAGCTCTTATAAGAGATACATACATATATATATATATATATATATATATATATATACTTATACGATTATGTCATACTGATATGAGATACGCTAACCCCCCCCCCCCTCTTCGAATCGAAGGATTGATGATGACATACATGGATGTGTCGAACCACATGGTTGTGAGATACTGACTCTGATACCATGTAAGATATATGTAGATCCCAAAATTTGTCTCCACAAGAACCCTTGTAGAGAGAATGGAGACCCTAACATGTATAATTACTTATAAGATTATGTTGTATCGATGCATGATACAATAACATAAACTATGTCACTGTCATCTTTTCCAGCCAACACTACCCACCTCCCACCATTACCATCCACCTCCATAAAAAACATCACCTTTCACCACCACAAACCACCAAGTAACTAATCTAAAACCAGTTTTTCAATCTGTAGCAAGATTGATTCAAACACAGATTTTAACAATAATACTGCTACCTTAAACGGATCTAATTATTGGTGGCATGCGATTCAAGAAAAATGGCAAGAGAGGGATGTCGGTGCATGTTGGTTTTTGCAAAGTAACAAGAGAGGATGAGGAGCGGGGGAAGATGTGACTAGTGATTGGAGGGATGTTGGCAGTTTTTAAGGCTGTGAGGGTATTTTTACCCGAAAAGATAAAGAAGACTATTTGCTTTGCAATGATTTTTAAAATAGTGTTTTATTTCTTCTTTGAAATTGTGTTAGCTAGAGTAAATGATATTATGACAAAAATAAATAAATAAATGTGAACAAAACTTAATTTCATGGTAAATCGTGTACGAAAATAAGTTTAATATTGCTTCTCTAACATAAAATTTGTTAAACTATATATTTTAACGT